GAAGTCACATAATACAATACTACAAGGCTACTATTCATGTTTGCTTAGGTTTTCCCTGCCAGCCACTAGTTCATCTTCAAACTCCCCACCAAACCTATAGAAAAGCTCTGAATAAAGGTGGACCTATAGATCTCTGTGTCATTTGTTCTTGGTAACATCCCTCCAGTCCGCATTGGTTGCTCCCTAGGCAACCAATATAATGTGGCAACTCCGAACATCAGACTCCCACCCCTCCCCAGGTTTGTTGCTGTTCCTTGTAGTTGTAGTTGTTTAGTGACTTTTTTGAACTAATTCTTTAAAATCTATATCTTTGTCTAATGCAGCCACTGAAATCTACTTGGTTAACTTTGTAGTCAGCTAATGAAAGAACAGATTTTCTTCAATGCCTGGAACCAATAAGTCTCCATGTGTTTGCCAGAGAGCTCAGTGTGTCTTGGGTACCCTGTCAACACTTAGGCAGGCAGTTGACAGCTCTGCCTAAGCCCTCTCTTCCTGCTTGCACAGAGCCTCACAGTCAGCCAGAGGTGAGACTTAGGGCCTTCTCAGTTCTTCCCTGGGCGTGTGCTTAGCCCTGGGTACGCACACAGCCCTACATGTGCGTGTTGCTTCCTAGACTGCCAGAAATATGTCAGAGCTGTTCAAATCTCCTGTGGATATTTCATTCTCCAGTTTTTCCTTTCACGTTTTTTGGGTAGCTTATTGTTTGCTTCAACTGTTATCATCCTCTCAGTCAGCTGGGAAACTGATCGATTGCCTCTAATATTTTCCAAAAACACACCTTGGGAAAAGGTCGTTTGCACTGACAAGCTCCAAGTCAAGTCAAATAAGACAGCCTTGCAAATGGGATCAAGCAGACAGGTCATATCATGGTAATTCTTTGGTAAAGAGGGTTTGTAGTGGCTCTGACCCCTCTGGTAGCTGCAAGGCTGCTGGTTTTCCCTGTCAGTGTGGGCTGTTGGCTGATAAGTCTACTGTGGAGCTGGAAATGGAAGAATGGAAACAGTGCAAGTTAAAACGCCACAAAGCTTACTGTTCTTACCAAGATTCAGCCTATTTTCTTGAATAGTTTTGCCAGATTGTTGAAAGCCTTTGGTTAATTTCTAGGAGTTCTGAAAAAGTTGTTTCTGACTTTCTTTTTTTTTTTTTTTTTTTGCCAGTTTTTTGTTGCTTTTATGAAAAGGAATTTTCAGAGATCCTAAGTCTCATATATTTTTGCTGATGTCTCTGGTTATTTTATCTCTCTTCTTTTTTTTTTTTTTTTGGTCGTGTTGGGTCTTCGTTGCTGTGCATGGGCTTTCTCCAGTTGCAGCGAGTGAGGGCTACTCTTTGTTGCAGTGCACAGGCTTCTCATTGTGGTGGCTTCTCTTGTTGCGGATCACTGGCTCTAGGCACGTGGGCTTCAGTAGTTGGGGCTCACGGGCTCTAGAGCGCAGGCTCAATAGTTGTGGTACACAGGCTTAGTTGCTCTGCAACATGTGGGATCTTCCAGGCCAGGGCTCGAACCCGTGTCCCCTGCATTGGCAGGCGGATTCTTACTGTGCCACCAGGGAAGCCCTATTTTATCTTTTAATTGTCTTTAATTCCAGAATAATCCTTACCTCTACACCACCCTTATATTTTAAAATGCTTATCTTGAAATAATTTAAGACTCACAAGAAGTTGGAAAAGTAGTACAGAAATTTCCCGTGTACCCTTTTTCCAGCTTCCCCAAATCATTACATCTTACATGACTCTAGTACATTTTTAAAATGAAAAGACTGGCATTGGTACAATACTGTTGACTTAACTACAGACCTCATTAGAATATCACCAATTTTTATAATGTCCTTTTTTTTTCCTTTGGTATATACTACTTTGAAATTTTATCACATGAATAGATTTGTATAACCACTGTTATAATCAGAATATGGAATTGTTTCAGTACAACAAAGACATTCCCCCATTTACAGTCACACCCTTCCCCCAACCCTAACTCCTTGCCATTCAGCTGTTCTTCATCACTATAATTTTGTCATTTTGAGAGTTTTATGTAAATGGAATCGCATAATTATATATATAATTATATAGCTTATTTTCACTTGGCATAGTACTTTTGAGAGTCTATGCCAAGTTGTAGCATTGTAGTACTGTTTTGGTTGAGCACTGTTTTATCATATGGAGGTAGCACAATCTGTTTATCTGTTCACTCATTGAAGTACATTGGGGTTGTTTCTAGTTTGGGGCTATTACAAATAAAGCTGCTGTAAACATTCATGTACAGTGCTCTGGGTAGACCACATTTTCCACCCATTTTCATTTCTGTAGGATAAAAATCCCAAGAGTGCAGTTGCTGAGTTGCATTGTACATGTATATTTTTAGTTTTATAAGAAACCTCCAAACTGTTTTCCAGGGTAACTGGACCATTTAAAATTCATACCTGCAACATAGGAGATCCTTTTATTATACAACCCTGCTAAACTCATTTATTAGTGTTAGAAGGTTCTTGTTTGTTTGTTTGTTTTTTAATTTTATTTATTTTTGGCTGTGTTGGGTCTTCGTTGCCGCACGCAGGCTTTCTCTAGCTGCGGCGAGCGGGGGCAGCTCTTCATTGCGGTGTGCGGGCTTCTCATTGCCGTGGCTTCTCTTGTTGTGGAGCCAGGCTCTAGGCACGCGGGCTTCAGTAGTTGTGGCATGTGGGCTCAGTCGCTGTGGTTTGTAGGCTCTAGAGCGCAGGCTCAGTAGTTGTGGTGCACGGGCTTACTTACTCTATGGCATGTGGGATCTTCCCAGCCCAGGGCTCGAGCCCGTGTCCCCTGCACTGGCAGGCGGATTCTCACCCACTGCGCCACCAGGGAAGTCCTAGAAGGTTTTTTGTAGAAATAGTTGCTCCACATTCTTTCCTGCACTTGGTATCATAGGGTATTATATTTTCACCATTCTGATATGTGTGTGGTCGTGTATCATCGAAGCTTTCTTTGCATATCTCTAATGGCTAATAGTGTTGACCATTTTCTTGTGTGCTTATTAGCCTTCTGAATATTTTCTTTAGCAAATTGTTCATTATTCATGTGTTGTGCCCATTTTTAATGGGATTATTTGTTTTCTTAGTGTTGAGTTTACAGACTTCTTTATATTTTCTACATATAACTCCTTTATTAGATATGTGTTTTGTTTTCGTTTTTTTAACCATCTTAAGTGTATATTTCAGCAGTATTAAGCATACTCCCAGTGCTGTGCAGCCATTCTCCAGATATTTTTCATCTTGCAAAACTGCAGCTGTATACCTGTTTTACAGCAACTCCCCATTGTCTCTCATTTCAACCCCTGGAAACCACCATTCTGCTTTCTTTTTCAGTGAATTTGACTACTCTAGGTAGCACATATAAATGGAGTCCTACAGTATGGTCACCCCTCGGTACCCTCTCGGGTCATTGGTTCCATGACCTGCGCCCCTGCATATATCAAAAACCATGGACGTTCAAGTCCCTTATATAAAATGGCATAGTATTTTCATGTAACCTACGCATCTCCAGATTACTTATAATACCTAATACAATGTAAATGCTGTGTAAATAGTAGCCAGCATGCACCAAGTTCAAGTTTTGCTTTTTGGAACTTTCTGGAATTTTTTGTCCCTAAATATTTTCCATTCACTGCTTGTTGAATCTGCAGATGTGGAGCCTGTGGGTATAGAGGGCCGACTGTATTTTTGTGATTGGCTTATTTTACTTAGCATAATATTCTCAGATATATGCAGTATGTGCTTTGCAGATACATTTTTCAGCCTCTGCCTTGTCTTTTCAATCTCCCAAAATGGTCTTTAGCAAAGCAAAAGTTTTTATTTTATTTATTTATTTTTTGTGTGTGTGTGGCACACGGACCTCTCACTGTTGTGGCCCCTCCCGTTGCGGAGCAGAGGCTCCAGACGCTCAGGCTCAGCGGCCATGGCTCATGGGCCCAGCCGCTCCGCGACATGTGGGATCCTCCCAGACCGGGGCACGAACCCGTGTCCCCTGCATCGGCAGGTGGACTCTCAACCACTGCGCCACCAGGGAAGCCCAAAAGTTTTTAATTTTGATGAAGCCCGATTTATCAGTTTTTTGTGCTTTTGGTATCATGTCTAAGAACTCCAGTCATAAAAGTTTTATAGTTTTACATTTTTACGTTTAGATTTATGATCCTTGTTTAGTTCATTTTTGTATATGGTGTGAGGTTTTGGTCAATAATGAATTTTTTGCCTATATAAGTCCTGTTGCTTGGGGCCTTGAACTTGAGGGGTATTGTCTTGTGTTGCTTTTGATATTCTGAATTTGCAGCAGTAGTATATAAATTTTCAGCAGCAGTAATATAAATCAGTAAAGCTTTACAGCTATCAAATGAAATATTTTACTTAAAAAAATGTTTGAGAAGAATTTGTAATGACATCGATGACTTCTTATAAAACTGAAAAAAATAGAATATACATTTTTGAAGACTGTATTTGTAGTTACTTTAGATGTCTGAAGTATTTCTGGTAAAACATACCGGAACGTTGTGGTGACCCTGGGTAGAGGGCTGGGTGTTCAAAGTGGAGGGAAGTTATTCTCAATTTGTATTCTTTTCGATCTTTTCCATGTGCATGAGTTTCCTGTTTTATAAGAAGTAGGTTTACAAGTGACATATGAAGTGTGAGCATAGTTGTTATTAAAAAAAAACCTCCTAAGGCAACATATGCAATAATGAATTCTTGGAGGGAAAAATACACTAATGTAATGAAAATTGGTTGTCTTTCAGTGATGTGACTTTGATTTCTTTAAAGTGTTCTTCGTTTTCTAAATTAATTTTATTACTGCCTATAAAAACGATGGGGATGGTTCTGAAACTTGAATTCCCTTTAAAAGTTACCCTAAAGTTCAACTTTTAAAATCAAGGGATAGAGTTTTAGTTGTGCTGTGTGTTGTACAAAAAGAATTGGACAAATATTCACCTTCTGAGATGATGCAGGTTAAGGCAACTTTCTGTGTTTGCTTTTGTGTTTCAGTGCCAAACCCAAGTCAGAGATCCACGTATCGATGGCCACTCCAGTCACTGTGTCTGTGGAGACCATGTCCAATCAAAATAATGATCAGCCCACCGTTGCAGTCCCACCCACCGCTCAGCAGCCTCCACCAGCCATTCCAACTATGATTGCAGCAGCTAGCCCCCCGTCACAACCAGCGGTTGCCCTTCCAACCATTCCTGGAGCAGTTCCCGTCACTCCACCCATCACCACCATTGCCACTGCCCCTCCACCGCCAGTGGCTGTGGGCAGCAGTCTCTCCTCCGTTTTGGGCCCTCCTGTACCTGAGATAAAAGTTAAAGAAGAAGTGGAACCAGTGGACATCATGAGGCCAGTTTCTGGTAAGTTCATTCACAGTATGCTCTTCGCTGGCAGTTGCTTCTTCCCCTTTTCCTAACTCTCCTCAGAGTCCAAACTCTCGTGTGACCCTCAGCCAGGAAGCCCGACGCCTTGATGCCCATTTGAAACTTGTATTTCATTAGTTTTTAATAAATAGGAGAAAGCATTACGCTCCTTTTGAAAACTAAAACCATACTGCTACCCTTTTATAGTTAATTTTCTCACCAAAATCTTGAAAAAGATTATTATTTCCCCAAGAATATCTTTGAACATAGCTTCTTGTATTCATTAAGAAAAGATTGCCATGTAAAAGGGGTTCACAATACAATCATAGCTAAGTGCTGATTAGTTTACAGTGTGTTCCCTGCCAATTTTTGTTGCCTTGTGTATGCAATAAAGTAAGATTTGTGTTGTAGTAAGTAGTCTCTTGATAAATTTATTTGTGATTAGTAAAATCTCAAAACTACCATTACCCCCTCCCTCTTCTCAACTCTAAACTTCTAGTTTGTAAAAGGCAGGTCACTTTAAAGGTTTTCTTTTTGTTTGGTTGGTTTTCTGTTATTTTAATAACTTACATGTAATCTTATTTTTCCTGACTACAAAAGTAACATTCAGTGTATGAAATTTATAAAGTACAGAGAAAGCCAAAGTGGAAAACAAGTCAGTTTGTCCCATAGTTACCCAGTATTACCCTCTTAACCATTCGGCATGAAGGCCCCCATCTCCCGTGCCATCTGTTCAGTTATGAGGTGTGGTCATGCTATGTCTACAGTTTTTAAATCTGCTGTGTATTTATTTGCTTATTTATTTTCATTTTATTATGCCAGGAAATATCCTTCTATGGCACCCATATTTAGCCTCAGCACTTCCGTTGAAAGGTACTGTGGATAACCCTGGAGGGGAAAGGAAATGGTCTCACTTTTGCTGTTCATCTGCTCTTTCAACGTTCTGGATACTTCCTCTTAACCTCTCGGTACTAGGAAGTTGGCAGTAGTCCTTCCTCAAACTGTAGGGCTCTGCACCGGCCTTTGTCCTGTAGGGCTCTGCACCAGGCACTGATGATCCAACCTTGTACAAAACAAGCACAACCCCATCCTCTTGGAGCTTACCTTCTCGCAAGGGCAACAGACGGTAAAATGAAGTAGAGACAAAATATAAGGGAAAGTTAGGGCTGGAGCTGTGATTTTTAAGAATGTTTTAAAGGAAAGGCCTTACTGAGGAAATGATCTTTGAGCAGAGACATTAAAGAGATGAAGTGCTGGCCATGAGGATATCTGGAAGAAGGTCATTTCAGACCGGGAGAGCAGTAAATGTAAAAGCCTGGTGTGCTCAAAGAATAGCAGAGGCAACAGCAGATGGAGCTCAGTAAATGAGGGGAGCGGGATGGACAAGGTCAGAGAAACAGGGTCAAGACTGTGAGAGCCTGTGGGCCACTGTAAGGCCTTCGGCTTTGCTGAGGAAGGTGGGAGCTATTAGAGGGTTCCGAGCAGAAGAGAGACTTGAGCTCACTTCCATTTTTAACAGACCACTCTGGCTGCTCTGTGGGAAAAAGACTGGGAACAAGGGTGGAATTAGGGAGATGTGTTTAGAGCCTGCTGCATTAATTGCAGGGACCAGTGAAGGTTTCAGCCAGGGTAGTAGCAGTACCAGTAGTATGAAGTGGTGAGAGTCTAGATTTATTATTGAAGTAGAACTGAGAGGATTTCTTTATTAAGATGGAATGTTGTGTGTGAGGAACGGCATCAGAGGCAACTATAAAGTTTTTGGCCTTAGTGTATGGAAGCATAGAGTTGCTGGCAGTTGAGGTTGGGGAGGGTGCGGCGGCGGGGGCGGGGGGGGGGGCTCCATTGTGTAGGGAGAGATCAGGAGTTAGTTTTTAATCTTATCCATTAAGTTAGATCTTAATGGATAAGATCATCTGAGGAATGAGCGCACGATAAAAAACAGAAGCAGTTGTGAACTGAGCCCTGGGGCGCTGCACCATTTTGAGGAGGGAGAGGAGGCCGAAGCTAGCAAAGGAGACTAAGTGGAGGGGCCAGAGTGATAGGGAGAAAGCGTAGAGTATGATGTCCTAGAAAGCCAGGACAAGGATCATGACTGATGAGAGATCAAGTAAGGTAAGAACTGAGCAGGACCATTGGATTTAGCAGTATGAAGGTCATGCAGATCTCGAGAAGAGCAGTTTCCACGTAATGATATTGGCCACAGCATGATGGGGAGTGGATTCAAGAGAAAGCTGGGAAACAACTTAGAGACAGGGAGTATAAACAGCACTTGAGGAGTTTGTTATAAAGCGCTAGAAAAAGGAAGGGCAATATCTGAAGGGAAATGATGCCAAGAGGAAGTTATTTTTAAGACAGGACAAATGAGTTTTGTATGTTAATGGGAGTGATCCAGTAGAGGGGAAAGAAGTGATGATGCAGGAAAAAGAGATGAATTCCTGGAGCGATGTCTGAGGAGGTAAGAGTGGGTGGGACCTATTGTGTATGTGAAGGAATCTGTGTCTGCTGAAATCACAGAGAGAAAGGAAGTGCCTGGTCACAACGCATGTAAGTAGGTATAGCTGGTGGGAATTTATGGACATTTCCTTCTGATTATTTCTATATTTTCCAGTAAGATAGAAAGCAGGGTCATAGCTGAGGGTAGGGGTGATATAGGAGGTGTTGAGGGTGAATGGACTTGGCAGATGCGGGAGGATCGTCCAGCAGCAAGGGCCTGCTCGAGGTCAGCAAGCATGCTAACAGGACACCTGTGCCCGTTGCTGTGTGTTTTTCTCTGGCTACACTCAGCTGCACAGGTGCAAACTAGTTGGAGAGTTGGATTTAACCTGTTGTGCTTTTTGCTCAGTGAGTACAGTGAAGCAAAAGAAAGGACAATAAATGAATAAAGTGAATAAAATTAATGGGAGAATTAAAACCCAGTGATAGGAGAGAGTGGACATTTGAGGGATGAGTGACAGCAAATAAGTGGTATGATTAATGGATAATAGTTCCTAATGGGGTCTAGGAATTGTTGGAGGCAAGTTACTAAGAGAAGTGACCTAGAAAGATAGTTGGGCTATCTTTGGGCTGGAAAATCAGATGCTGGAAATTGAGATGTGATGACAGAGTGAAGGGTTTGACTGTTGGGAGTGGGTGGCTGAGGAAGGGTGGAGGGAAAGGATAGGCCAAGGATATATGGTATAGAAGAGTTGAGGTGAAGTTTTCTCATGATTTGCGTGTCCCCAGACACATGATCCATACAAGCCCAAACAAATGATATTAACATTGTACTGAGAATGCTGCTTATCTGGGGGCAGTGGACTGTGGTAGTTAAATAGTCCAGGCTCCGAAGCCAGACTGCCTCTGTCAGCTCCCAGCTGTCCCACTTCCTACTTGTGTGATTTGTGCCACGTTTTCTCATCTTTAAATTGGGGCATAATATAATGCCTGCTTGCTCAGATTACTTTTAAGATTATATCAGTTAATGGGTTATCTCCTAGAAATCAATGCTCAAAGGCTTGAAAAACAGTGGCTTGAACATGTAAGGTTTTATTGTCTCCCTTGAAGCGAATCCTGAGGCAGACAGTCCAGGCATGGTATGTGGACTCCATAAAATCATTAGGGATCCAGGCTCCTATCACCCCTAGCATTTGACCCTCATGCTCTTGATTCAAGATAGCTGCTGGAACTCCAGCTATCCCATCTGAGTTCCAGGGTCACAGGAAGAAGACGAGGAGTGGGTCATGCCTTCTTTCTTTTAAGGAAACTTCTTAAAAGTGCTACAGAGCACTTGTATTTTCATTTCAAAAGGCCACAATGAACTGTAAGGGAGACTAGTAAATATGGTCTTCCAGCCAAGTGACAGCATGCCCATTTCAAAGTGAGGGGTGCTCGTGCTAAGGGAGGTGAAGATGTGAGGTATTAGAAAGCAGTTGGCAGCCTCTGCCACAGTTGGAGTGCTTAGCATAGCGCTGGGCATGTCAGAAGACTCCATAAATGTTAGCTCTTTTTCCTGTCTTCCTCATCTCTCTCATTGATGGAAATCAAGTGACACTTTGCACTGTGTTTGGGCTCTCATGCATGTGTGCACCCTTTTTCCTATGACAGCAGTTCCCCCCCTGGCTACCAACAGTGTGCCTCCGTCTCTTGCATTGCTGGCTAACAACCTGTCCATGCCTACAAGTGACCTACCACCCGGTGCTTCGCCAAGGAAAAAGCCTCGGAAGCAGCAGCACGTGATTTCAACAGAAGAAGGGGATATGATGGAGACAAACAGCACTGATGATGAGAAGTCCACTGCCAAGAGTCTTCTGGTGAAGGCAGAGAAGCGCAAGTCTCCTCCCAAGGAGTATATCGGTAATGCTCACTTGAGCTAAATTTTGTCACGAGAAGCTTCCCACTTAAGTCAGGGGTCCATCCCTGAGGCTGTTTACATAGCCAGATTTCACTTACAGCTTACCTGCAGGAATTATACCAGGAAGATTGTTGCAAATAGATAGTAAGCTATTTAATGTCTTCTTTTTCTTCTCTTGAATAGATGAAGAAGGTGTGAGGTATGTCCCAGTGCGTCCAAGACCTCCCATTACCTTGCTCCGTCACTATCGGAACCCCTGGAAAGCTGCATACCACCACTTTCAGCGGTACAGTGACGTCCGCGTCAAAGGTCAGTTTCCCCAGAAATGTTCGGTGTTAACACTTGCAATGGGTCTTTCACTCAGCTATATTGAAATCACAGTAGAATAGAAAAACAGAATCAGTTTCCCAGTTTCAAAAAGAACCATAAGTTTTTGTTATAAAATCTCAAGACTTTATTGTTTAACTTAGATAGAATACACAGTTGAGCACAAAATTTGGAAAATTATCTTTTGCCTCAGAAAGCTTTGTGTACTTTACTGGAAACACAGTCTAATGAATAAATGACAACATGTGTTGCCAGCTCCCCAAGTGGTCACAGATGACCTCTTTAGCCCTCAAAGTGGTTGAGGAAGAGCTATACTAGACTGTTACTGGACATGGTCCACAGTAGTTCCAGGATGCTCAGATATACGTGTGTGATAAGCCCCAGGAAGTATATTTTCCAAAAGACCTTTTGTTCAACATATGTGAAGCTCTTGGAATGGTCCAGTGCAAGCACTCAGTGAATGTCTTTGTGGTTTTGAACTTGAGAATAACATTCTCATTCATTAACCCACTTATAATAAAAATGGCTGATAGTACTTTGCGAACATCTGCAAATATTTCTCTGGATAGACTTTGTGTCATTAATCTCAAATATAATCATTGCACACAGAAGTGTAAGTTTTCAGAGAATTGGCCATATTTCCCATTCCCTCAAATAAACTTTACTTGGAAGCTTCCTTGAAGCCGCAAGATGAGTCTGATTTGGATGGTACTGACTAATGCCTATCAGCAGGAGTGAAGGTCCTGACAGTTCACTATCTGAATGGAAGTACAGAGGTGGCTGCTCTGCCCAGCTTTTCTTCCTCACAAGTACACCCTGAGGATTGAAAAGAGGGTGAGATTTCGAAAGAGAAATCAGAGAATGTTGGCCTTTGGTGGAAGCAGGATATGAGCCACCAGACATTTCTTCACACCACAGGAATTCCATATCGTAGCAGGAGAATATTTACAGTTTTCCCTGGTAACATTTTAAGCCGTAAAAGATTCTTATTGCTTATTGGAACTCACTCTTCAAAAGCTATCTCAGGAAAGGTTATTTGACAGCTGAAAATACTGATGATTCCTAAATCTTCTGTTTGGATATGTACATATTAATCACCTTGTGCCAAGTCTCTTGACTATTAAACTTTAACTGAACTGTTTTGCCTAAGCTTTAAAGTCATATTCATACAAAGAAATAAAGGTGGAGTACTAAAAACAGGTAACTCACAGGGAGGAAAGAAAAGAGAAATAGGGGAATAAGAAGCACAGAAAACAAATAATAACATGGCAGGCTTAGCCTTACATACCAGTAATTACCTTAAATGTAAATAGTCTGGAAGTACCAATTAAAACACAGATGGGCAGAGAGGATAAAAAAAAAGATCCAACTATATTATGCCTGTAAGAAACTTCAGATACAGTGGGTCAGTAGAGTGACAGTAAAAGGGTGGAAAAATATGTACAATGCAAAAACTAATCAAAAAACAAGAGTAGGTATAGTAATATCAAACAAAAGTAGACTTCAGAGGAAAGAAAATTACTAAAAATGAAAAAAGGCATTACATACTGATTAAAACTATATAGGCAACAAAAATCATGAGCTTCAGAATATATGAAGCAAAAACAGCTGAAAGGAGTATAGGCAAATGTGCAGTCATAGTTAGACCTTCGACACCCTCTTCTCGGCAGTTGATAGAAGTACTTGACAGAAAATCAGAAGGATATACAAGAAGTGAACACCACGAACCAACATCTAGTAGACATTATAGGACACTAGAACTGCAGCAGAATACATATTCTCTCAAGTGCACACACAACATGTAAAGACAGACCATATTTAGGATCATAAACCTCAACAAATTAGGGAGAATTGAAATCATATAGAAAAATATAAAGTATCTTCATTGACCATAATGGAATCAAACTAGAAACCAGTGACAGATAAAACCTCCAAGCCATGGATTAAGCAACACACTTCTAAATAATGGGTCGAAGAGGAAGTCTAAAGGGGAGTTTTTAAAAATACTTAAAACTGAATGAAGATAAAAGAACAACATACCAAAATATGTGGAAGGCAACTAAAGCAGTGCCAACAGGAAAATCTATAGCACTAAATGTTTATATCAAAACAGAGGAGGAGGGCTTCCCTGGTGG